ATTTTTTTAATTTTATATATTGTTTAGCATTTCTACATTTCCCCAGACTAATGATGATCGTTGATGTAGGATATCACATAAGGCTCGCAGGACCTGCTATTTTTATATAGTTTGTAGTCTATACTATACAAATAACAATGAGTTTTTGCCTGTCTGTATGTCTTCCTAAACTCTTCATCTCATAGCAATGAAACTTTGGGGAACGGTAGGACATATGCCCACGAAGATTTCTGATTTAGTAAAAACTTTCAGAAATTAGCACGCGAACGGGAACGGTTAAAAACTGGATTTTACGTTTCGCAGTCGACATTGCGGCAGTTAGAGACATTTAGAACATGTGTTTCCTGACAACATAAAGGTATACTCCGAAAGCACTTCACGAAATTACCACCGAAACGGCGTACGAGAACAGGAAAAAATAGATACACGACCTTGACTAATAATAGGCGGTATGAAATCGTCGAGAAAAACTATGAAAAAATAGTATGGAATAACAATAGCTTCCATTTTAATTACTTCATAAACTATACACGATAGGATTATGTTTGGAATATAGCATATCGGGTAAGTGACCTCCACGGCTCTACTGGCACATTGAATTCTTTTGGATTAATTCCATTGCCACGTTCCCAGAATTCCCACGGGCGTGAATCGATCCAATCACAGACTTCGTCCTGCACCTCTGCGTCCGACATAAAACGGCGACCTTTCAGGTGTTTCTTCATGAGTCCAAGAACGTGGAAAGGGCACGGCGACATGCTCGCTATGGTGTATGTATCTCGGCCTCTGATGTGATGTGTCTGTTGGCATTTGCAGCGATCCACGCCAGCAATGAACTTCTGCTAAATTTTCACATTGAATTGACCTGCGCGCGCATTGTGGTACAAGAACTCGCGTCCTTCCCAGAACCGTACTGGCCACATTTTGACTGTAGGTAGTGTAGGTGAAACTGTTGTCACCATTCATAACAGCCATTCTCCGATGAATCTCGATCAACTTCACTCCTTCAGCTGTCGGAAAAGGCACACCTCGCTTGTCCTCCTTCCACCCTGTACCGATCTCATCAACTTCCAGAATTTGAACTAAATTGTTAATTATCAGTGGGTAAACGCATTAAAATGACATTTCACGTTGGAAATTATTGCAATTAGCATTCAAATTAAAATCGGCATCGGCAAGTTTTCCAAGTTTTCCAAAATGTAGGAACTGATCGTAGCGCCGGCACCGTCCAGTAGTAGTTAGTTTGGCGTAGCGGTTTAAGACTCGAACTCTAATCTCACCGGTTGTGAGTTCGAATCCCACAACTAGCCAGTTTTTAGTGGTACAGAACATTTCCTGACTACCATGCTTCGAAGGGCATGTAAAGCTGACGGTCCCGGCAGTCATACCACGACTGTCGTTAGTCACACAGACGGCTGTTGATACGACCTGAAACCGTCTGTACCTAGGGAGTGCCACCCATACGATACGATATGATACCGTCCAGATCTAGATTTTGGTACATTTTGATACATCTTTACTTCAGATCACGCCATGTAAATAACGGCCAACAGGGCTATCGCTAATATGTGCCGTTCACGCTACGATTTTTGTGAGTTTACCGATTCAGTTCAAAACTCAACGTGAAGTGGCCAATTCGATTCATATCTTGCCTTCCGGCGAGATCCGCATTCTTTCAACATGCTAAATATTTTTTACTGCACAGGCCACAGTTACTGCGGGAACTGTACCTTGAAGTGCTGGAGTAATCCTTGAGTTCCATCGGCGATAAAGATAGTGTGTATGACAATAGATGTAGTAGTGTTAAACAGAGAGAACCAATGCTCAACTTTTGTGTTTAAATGAAGTATAAACAATGTCATTTACAATCTACGAGAAGTGTTTAAACACATTCCCATTTATTCATTAGCTTCGTAAGCCATGATCAGGTAATTAACGTTAACGAGATCCTTATGTGTGTTAGGATTAAACCTAAGCAGCTTATCATAATCTCAGTTTACAGGCATCACTTTATCTTACAAAATTTTCAAGTTGTAAAACTCGGCTACGTATTACCACAAGATCTGTGGTATTACTATATGTATATGAAGATCATGTTACACGGTTTATAATTTAATTAATAGGTATCGATATTGTTGAATTGTGCTTTATAGCTACATAGCTAAAGTATTTTCTAAAATTAGTTTCTATTCGTGCGGTTTTCAAATTTCATTTACAAACGTGGTTAATTTGAACTGAGTCCTAATGTTATAATTATTCTACTCTTTATAACATCAAATCAAATGAATGGAATCTTATCTTAATGAAATTAGGAATTACAAGTGAAGTTTGATATTATTGAGGATTGAAAGAAAATATGATTACTAAAATTGAAATCTTAAAGGTATCACTTTTTGCTTTTGACAATTTGTTACACTCTGTGGCTTTAAATTAGTTCTCAAGATTGCTGGTAGAAGTCCCCAATAGGATTATATTGCTTCTTTGGATTTCTGCTCGTTCGGTTAAGCAATTTACTTGAATTGGAAGTTAAACATACCTACTGAGAAAAAATCTTTTAGATGTCCCCAAAACTTTTCGTTGAAACCGAAATTGGATAAAAATCTATTGTAATAGTATATTATTAACTAAATGGTGACCACCTGAAGAATTTCCCCACAATTTCAATACAATGAAGTATGAATATCTATTAGAAGTATCTATCGAAATAGAGTCGATAGAGGTATTCAACAATACCACAGACAACAATGTTGTCTGTGTCTGTGTCTGTTCGCTTATAAGTATTAGCAACATAACACGACAGCGTTCCACTTTCAAGGAAACGTCAAAGCCTGTTGGGTGTAGGCCAAAAATTGTTCTCTATAACTCGCTAACAACACTCTCCAAGCCCCTATACAGGGTGAGTTTTTTTTCATTTTAAGCATTAGGATCTCGGAAAGCGTAAGACATAGAGATTCGGTTAAATGCTTATTCAAGATATGCTTTTGTTTTTGAAAAAAATCCATAGTTGACTATAGATATGAGCGAAAAACAGATTTGTGATTTAACTCAAACTTACATTTTGTTAAATGGCAACTATAGTTGGCTGTGACATTTTTTTCTTTTTACAGTGATATAAGGTTCATTGTACTTACTTTGACGAATAAACATGATACAGTAACTGTTTGTATAATCACAGACAACTGTCTGTGGTATAATTTAGAGTAGTAAAAACATTTTTGTTCTCTTAATTACTCAGTCTATTATAATATTTAACTTAAAGGCCACAAATAGAACAACAACGAAAAGAAATTACGAAATATTGCATTTAAAATTTCTACTTTGAAGTAGTTAGGTACATGTAAGACAAGTATAAATTGTGCACAACTCTTGTGCAGAATGCAGATAAAACGCATTTTTTTACACCGAAATAGCTTTTGTGTTGACATCACCAATGGATATATTTCTTGTAGATCCCCCTTGTAAGTACCCTCTTCCGACAATCCATTCTTGAGGTATATGGGAATATACCCGATCACGATAAGAGGTCGAGGAGGAGTGCTATGGTTTGTAGAAATTAATTCCTTTTGTTGAGACCTTTCATTAGAGTACCATGAAGGGTAAAACTAGTTCCACTCCCTCTGCACCCCGTACTTTGATAAGAGAAGGGCAGTAGTTGGTAGAAAACGGTTCCTTTCGTTGAGACCTTTAATTAGAATACAATGAGAGATAAAATTAATTTTTAACCCCCCCCCCCCTCCGGCCCCGTCGCTCACTGATCTCGGAAAAGAGTCGCACGGGAAATCTGATTTCAACCAAATTTGGTGTAAAGTGAACATGAAAATAACGAAACCAATAATTGAAGTGAAATGAATATATAGCAAAATGCTATTTCTGTTGCCGATCCTAATTTTTAGAATTTACCAGATACACGTAAGATCACCGACAAAAGTAATGATAATCTGATGCTTACTGCCACTTAGGCAATTTCAACGTTGCCAGTTTTGATAGTGTATGGTTGATACACTATCTAAACTGGCAACGTTGAAGCGTAAGTTTCCCGGCGGGAATTCGTGTGGGATGGGCCAAGAGATATAGATGTGGCCGCCATATATATAAGAGAAGTATATATATGGTGGCCGCACGGCATCGCGCATTGTAGTGCTTGCTTCGGCGTTTCTTCGTCACTGCCTTGATATAAACACTACAGACTACAGCAGGTATATAATTACAAGAATTGGTAAATCTTTTTTTAATTTTGCGTATTGGTATTCCCAATTCCCAAAATACCTACTACTCCCTCTATATCAAGACAGTGACGAAGAAATTGCTAAGAAGTAACAAGGCGCGCCGCGTGTGTTCCATTACAATGGAAATGTTAATAAATATCTTGTTAATTACCTATTCGATAAGAAGTGTGTTCATATTACCTATGGTTCTTTAAAAAGGAAATTTGATTTTACATGCCGATTTTTTGACTTGTGGTTTGGCTGGAAAAAACCTAAATTTTTAAAGAAATAAAACATACTGTTTTTTTATGATTGAATATGCAAAACAAAAGTACTGTTTAACTCTTTGTTTTATTTTCTTACTGCGTTTACCTGAGCCTTTTTTAGTAGTGTGTAACAAAACTGGATCACTAAAATAAGAACTTGTCTTTCAAAATTAACCTTAAAAGCCAGTTTTTATTTCAATTGAGAGAAAAACGAGATTGAAGATACCAATGTGAATTAATGGCCCGTATGAATAAAAGTAAGCAAAAGGTCCATGTTCCCAGCCCCCCCCCAGTATTAGAAAAAATGTTTGTTACATGTTAAATTCACCCTAAGTTACTAATGGGTCATACTATATATGATGTGAACGATGTGTTGCATATTCTTAGGATATTTTCGTCACTAGCTATCATATAGGATGTCATAGGTCACATTCCAGTTAGATTATCTTTTAAAAAAGGAGACCGTTGTAAAAGGCAGATTATGAACGGCCATTGCTGTGCAAACTATACAAATTTTGAAAGAAAAATTCGTTAACCGATCTTTAGTTGCACAAGCATTCATAAATTAATTGATTTTTGTGATATTGAGCCAGTTAGGCATACATTGATTAATTTTACCCAGTATTGGGGATTTAAAGGCCGCTTACTTTTAAAGCCGAACTGGGTATGTAGTTGTCCAACGTCGTTTGTGTCATTCTATGAGTAGTTTATAGCTTTTAGTGAGAGGTACGTTGTCCGAGACCTAGGAAAAACAAAGTGGTTGAAGTTCGTGTCACCTGTTGGTCATTCCGTACCCGTAGCATAGAGCGTCCCTGATATCGGAAGTTACTTAGACATCGTCAACATCTTCGCAGTCCACGCTTAAGTTAGGTAGCCAGTTATTGAAGCCCTCAACGACTTGGTTGGTATGTCTTCATGTAACCTATGTGTGTCGTCCATTGGGAAGTCGTCTAGCCAGTTGGAGGCATACTTGTAGATACAGGCGGGCAGTTGGAAATAGTCATTCGGTGGTACGAGCCACTGCCGATGAATTGTGTAGTTGGTAGTATTATAAAATATAAAAGTTTGGGAGTCAGAGCCACTATTTGTGTAATAAATGTTGTTGTCACTTACTTGTATGTAAAGGTGATTCGTCGTACCGTCAACCCAGCTATTGCTGACGCACAAAGACGCTCTGAGAATCACAAAGAACGAAAACACCTTAACGCTGGCATAATCGCATAGCCCGATTAGTTTATTGTTGCCCATATTCTAACATCGGGGTTGTTTCTCCCGACTCAATTACCTACTGTAGTTCCAAATTACAGCCTATCCGAACTACTGTCACTTAATTTATATTATACAGGGTGCGACCGGTAGAAAGCGCTTCCTACAAGGGTTCGGCCGACCTAATCAGTGGTCATTATTACCAAAAGGTATTGCGGATTAGTCGGCAAGGGGGTTCTTGGAGAAGTCCCTGTAGTCACCGCGAAATTTAAAGCCGCTTCGAGTCACCTTAGGCTTGTTCATTTAGTTGTGAGAGTAGGAGAACAATTTAATTAGTTTTATTTGACATTAAATATTCATTAGTGGCGCACATTTTGTTTCTTTCCTTTTTCTATTGCGGCAATACCCTTCCTGTAGGTCCGGCAGGAGAGTCACTAGGGATAAGGACCTGGCGCCTCCCGAGCATTCATTTAGAGTTCGTTCTGAAGAACTACCACGCCCGCGCGAGAGTTAGCCGCGGAACCTAAGTTACCTCGCCGCAATTCCCGACAGCTTAAATAGGTAACAAATTGGCGCCCAACGGTTGTTTTTTTATTTTTTTTTAGGACTTAATTAGTTCGTTTTACTACTTAAAAGGGTGAAAATATAGGAATAGGTTAATTTTAGTTTTATAGTTATTTTTGGGGGAGAGGACGTTCGACGTTCCAAGTGGAAACATTAGGTATAGGTTGTATATATATTTTTCTTTTTTTTTGGGAATACATTAGGTTAGTATTTAGAATGGAGGTTAATAGGTTATTAGGAGATGAGTTGTCTTATGAATTAGCCATTAGAGATATGTCGACTAGTGGTACTGTAGCCGAAAAGCGCTCTGCACTTCGAGGGTGCCTAAGATTAGAAAACTCTTCACTAACACCAATCCCTAACTTGTCTAAGTTAGATAATAAAAAGGAATTGCAAGTATGCTCAAGTAAATTACAAGAATTGGAACAATGCATTGAGTCATTTGATCAAACCAATAGGGAAAATGAATATAAACGAATACAAACGCGTCTATTGCATGTACAGGGTCGATTAAAACGACTAGCATGCGAAAATTCCGAATTTACTGATTTACGGTCCGAACTCCTTACACACTGTATGCGTTTAGTTGAATATCTAGAAGAAAAGTACGATCCCGCTGAAGTCCAACTACAGCAAGGAGACAACGGATCTATTATTCCAATAGCACAGAGTACAGCACCCCAACCTAGTATGAATCCCATGATGCCAGGCACCTCAGGCCCTTCGGTTATGCAGTGCAGTATCATGGATGAGCCAATCGTCGAACAAATAATCCCTATAACGGAAAACATCGCTTCAAGTCCAGTACATAGACCAATTCGGTCACAAGCGAGACCTACACATTCTTCGACCGCACATCCCGTTGGGTTTTTCAACGATTCGATAGAGATGCAACAATTATTAACAAAGCCCAAAGGAGCAATAATTGCGAAATGGAATCTGACCTTCGATGGACAGTCCAGTCTGCCAAATTTCTTAGAGAGGATAGAAGAACTCCGTCAAGCATGGAATCTTTCTAAAGAGCAAGTATTCGAATCAGCTTCTCAATTGTTCAAAGGCGATGCGTTAATATGGTATCGAGCTGTAAAAGGAACCATACGCAACTGGGATGATTTGACTAGTGCTCTCAAGGAGGCTTTTCTACCATGCGATTATGAATATGAACTCATGGATGAAATTCGTCAAAGGACACAAGGCATAGATGAGCCAGTAATCGTCTTCATTGCAGTTATGGAGAATTTATTTAGAAGATTATCAAGATTTCCTTCGGAAACGGTAAGAGTGCAATCCATCAAGAGAAATTTGCAACCATATTTACAAAACCAACTAGCACTATATACTGTACACACTATCCCGTACTTAACCAGTTTGTGCAAGTCAATTGAAGATGTGAAATATAGGATGAAGCAATTCAAACCACCACCCGCTCAATCAACGCTGAACCCGGATTTGGCTTATCATAAACATCAGAGAGTCATTTCTCGCACAGCAGCCTTAAATGTGCAAGATACCGAAATATCAACCACGGATCTTAGTGGGGGAAATAACGAAAGTCAACTTCCACAAGCGATGGCTCAATTGGCAGTGACAACCTGTTGGAACTGCCAAAATTCTGGTCACGTGGCAAGAGCATGTGGTCAACCGAAACGTATCCATTGCTATCGCTGTGGGAAACCAAACGTAACGTTACGCAATTGCCCCTCATGTTCGGGAAACGGCCAAGGGAGCCACTGAAATCGGATCGATCAGTGAGCCCTAACCAAAAGAAAAATACGATCCCATACTTAGAAAAATTACGTCAGCTAAGAAAATCAATCACCACCAAAATAAGTCCGGTTTTAGATTTTATATTTTCACATACGGAAGGTGATGAGAGACCCTACCTAGATGTTGAAGTTCTAGGTTACAAAATCAAAGGCCTGTTAGACTCCGGTGCAAATCGAAGTGTGGTAGGAAGCAAAGGATTTCAATTACTAACATCTTTAGGATTGCAACTTCAAAAATCGAAATCACAAGCTTGCACATTTGCCAACCAGCAAACTTTCAACGTTACGGGAGTCCTGTCAGTCCCTATGAGACTTCAGGATAGAGTGAGAATGATCGAGGTATTAGTCGTTCCTGAACTACAACATATCTTAATCCTTGGAGTAGACTTCTGGGTCCAGATGGAGATCATCCCAAATTTGCGGAAGGGGGAGTGGAGTTTTAATTCTCAGGAAGCACATCCAACAGTGGTCGACTCCATCTGTTCAACAGAAACGTTAACAAACGATCAAAAACAGAGACTACAGGAACTCACCGAAAACTTCTTCTCATCAACCAATCCGAAACTTGGTTACACACATTTAGTTGAGCACCATATAGTAACGACAGCACAGCCCATCAAACAGAGATACTATCCTGTATCACCGGCAGTCCAAGCGCAAATTGATATCGAATTGCAACAAATGTTACAGCAGGACATCATAGAACGTTCAAATTCTGCATGGAGTTCCCCCATTTTATTGGTTAAAAAGAAGGACAATACGTTCCGTTTTTGCGTAGATTACCGGAAATTAAATGCCGTGACACGAAAGGACGCTTACCCAATCCCGTTTATTTCATCGATTCTCACGAAATTAAGGGACGCCAAATTTATTACATCCTTGGACGTCAAGTCGGCTTATTGGCAGGTGCCAGTAGCGGAAGAATCCAGGGAATTCACAGCGTTTACAGTCCCGGGCCGTGGACTCTTTCAATTTAAAAGAATGCCATTTGGTCTTACCAATAGCCCAGCAACCTGGCAACGGTTGATGGACCAAATCTTCGGAGCCGAATTAGAGCCATACCTTTTTGTATATTTGGACGACATCATCATCGTTACACCGACGTTCGATCTTCACGTGGATATTTTGAAACAGGTATTCGAAAGATTAGCCACAGCAAATATTAAACTATCTCAAGAAAAATGCCAATTCTGCAGGCAAGAACTGAAATACCTGGGATATGTAGTTAACAGTCAAGGATTACATGTAGATCCTGAAAAAGTCGAAGCCATTCTAAATATACAATCTCCGAGCAACATCACAGAAGTTCGCAGGATTATCGGTACAGCATCATGGTACCGGCGGTTTATACCAAACTTTTCTTCAGTGATCGCACCCATGACTGCTTTACTAACAAAAAAGAAAACTTGGCAATGGGACGAAGATTGCGAAGAGGCCTTCCACATCATTAAACAAAGCCTGATATCAGCTCCAATCTTGAGTTGTCCAGATTTTTCGCGGCCATTTTATGTCCAAACAGACGCCTCTGCCTATGGAATTGGAGCGGTTCTGTCGCAACAGCACGATGATGGAGAACAGGTGGTATGTTATCTCAGTAGAACCCTGTCACGTACTGAAAGAAATTACAGTGTAACCGAACGCGAGTGCCTAGCGGTGATATGGGCGATTGAAAAATTACGATGTTACCTTGAGGGTTATAAATTTTTCGTCATCACGGATCACCACTCATTACTTTGGCTAAATAATCTGAAAGAGCCAAATGGTAGATTAGCACGTTGGGCAGTGCGCCTCCAACAGTTCGATTTTGAGATCATCCATCGAAAAGGCAAGGAGCATGTAGTCCCCGACTTGCTGTCACGATCTGTACCACAAATAGCCACCATTACCAATGTACCTGATCAGCCACCAATCGGAGACAAATGGTATCTGAAAATGTTGCAACTGGTGGAAACTCAGCCTCTCAAGTATCCAACATACAGACAAGAGGGTTCTCGTCTATATAAGCAAGTAAGAATTCCTTACCCAAATTTACAAGAAAGCCAAAATCAATGGAAATTGGTCTTACCAAAAGAAAGACGATTAGAAATCTTACGTGAGTGTCACGATAGCGAAACTGCAGGTCACGCCGGGGTTCATAAAACATTTGAACGCCTTCGAGCTCGTTACTATTGGCCGAAAATGAAAAAGGACATCATTCATTATATCCGAAGGTGTACAATATGCCTTGCAACGAAGCCAATCCAAAGAGCGGAAGCTGGATTAATGGGTAACCGACCGAAAATCTACAAACCATGGCAAATGATATGTGTCGACATAGTAGGGCCTTTGCCTCGGAGCAGTCGAGGGTATATGAATATACTAGTAGTTTCGGACTACTTTAGTAAATTTGCCCTTTTCTTTCCGATACGACAAGCAACAGCCACCACCGTAACCCGGAAAATAGAGGAGGAAGTCTTTCTAGTTTTCGGAGTCCCAGAATATCTGATAACAGACAACGGAGTGCAATTCCGAAGTAATGATTTCAAACACATGTGCAACCAGTACAAGACGAAAATCCTGTTTAATGCAGCGTACCATCCGCAGGCAAATCCCGCCGAGCGCGTAAATCGCGTATTAAAAACTATGATATCAGCATATGTGAAAGACAACCACAAGAACTGGGACAAGGTCTTACCAAAAGTTGGTTGTGCCATACGAACCGCCTCACACGAAGTGTTAGGAATGACACCTTATTTTGCAAACTTCGGACGAGAGCATATGATTAGTGGTGATTCGTATAACAAGCCGAAGTTCAATGAGGACGAAACAGTATTAAACCGCCCTCAAATAAGGAATCTGGATCCACTTTTTGAGGACGTCCAAAAACGATTGGAGACAGCCCACGCGAAAGCGAAGCGTCGCTACGATTTACGTAAACGCCCGCAACAATTCGAAGAGGGCACATCAGTGTGGAAAAAAAAATTATGTCCTGTCGGATGCGTCGAAGAATTTCACAGCGAAATTCGCTCCAAAGTACGTAGGGCCGTTTATGATAAAGAAAAGGATCTCACCATTGACTTACGAACTAGCTGATGATACTGGGCAATCAAAAGGCGTTTGGCATACTAAAGATTTGAAACCCATTATAGGAGATGACACTCTCTCTGAAAAACTTGATTGAATGAATGTTGAGCATGAATCTTAGAATTGTAGGGTAGGTTGGATGGGGTCGCAGGTGGCCATATTAGGAAGAGTATTCAACTTTTTTTTTTCATTTCGAATACATCTTCCTGCTTGAACACCAGAGCTCTTCAAATTCTTTTCTGTTTTCTTTTTCTTCGGGTGGGTTTCTTTGTGGTACAGTCTATCATCTAGGTGCTTTAGGTACGGGTTTATATTGGGTGGTTAGGGAGGGTCTTTTGGATTTTTTTTTGTATTGGGGGGGGAGGGAAAGAATTGGGTTTCTTTTATTGTTGTCCAGGGTTAGGGAATGTTTGGAGTGTGCTGGAGCCATCTCGATAGTTTCGGGAGAGAAGGTTGGATGATTTTGATTGGTTGTAGAAGTAGGGGTAGCACTGGACAGTGATGGACGGGACTAATTCTTTCAGTTTTGTTAGGATTTCATCTTGTCAATAATTTTGTTTGTTTGTTGGTCCGCTACGCTTCCTTCTTGGGAGGGGGAAGTTGTTACATGTTAAATTCACCCTAAGTTACTAATGGGTCATACTATATATGATGTGAACGATGTGTTGCATATTCTTAGGATATTTTCGTCACTAGCTATCATATAGGATGTCATAGGTCACATTCCAGTTAGATTATCTTTTAAAAAAGGAGACCGTTGTGAAAGGCAGATTATGAACGGCCATTGCTGTGCAAACTATACAAATTTTGAAAGAAATTCGTTAACCGATCTTTAGTTGCACAAGCATTCATAAATTAATTGATTTTTGTGATATTGAGCCAGTTAGGCATACATTGATTAATTTTACCCAGTATTGGGGATTTAAAGGCCGCTTACTCTTAAAGCCGAACTGGCTTTTAGTGAGAGGTACGTTGTCCGAGACCTAGGAAAAACAAAGTGGTTGAAGTTCGTGTCACCTGTTGGTCATTCCGTACCCGTAGCATAGAGCGTCCCTGATATCGGAAGTTACTTAGACATCGTCAACATCTTCGCAGTCCACGCTTAAGTTAGGTAGCCAGTTATTGAAGCCCTCAACGACTTGGTATGTCTTCATGTAACCTATGTGTGTCGTCCATTGGGAAGTCGTCTAGCCAGTTGGAGGCATACTTGTAGATACAGGCGGGCAGTTGGAAATAGTTATTCGGTGGTACGAGCCACTGCCAATGAAGTGTGTAGTTGGTAGTATTATAAAATATAAAATTTTGGGAGTCAGAGCCACTATTTGTGTAACAAATGTTGTTGTCACTTACTTGTATGTAAAGGTGATTCGTCGTACCGTCAACCCAGCTATTGCTGACGCACAAAGACGCTCTGAGAATCACAAAGAACGAAAACACCTTAACGCTGGCATAATCGCATATCCCGATTAGTTTATTGTTGCCCATATTCTAACATCGGGGTTGTTTCTCCCGACTCAATTACCTACTGTAGTTCCAAATTACAGCCTATCCGAACTACTGTCACTTAATTTATATTATACAGGGTGCGACCGGTAGAAAGCGCTTCCTACAAAGGTTCGGCCGACCTAATCAGTGGTCATTATTACCAAAAGGTATTGCGGATTAGTCGGCAAGGGGGTTCTTGGAGAAGTAGTCACCGCGAAATTTAAAGCCGCTTCGAGTCACCTTAGGCTTGTTCATTTAGTTGTGAGAGTAGGAGAACAATTTAATTAGTTTTATTTGACATTAAATATTCATTAGTGGCGCACATTTTGTTTCTTTCCTTTTTCTATTGCGGCAATACCCTTCCTGTAGGTCCGGCAGGAGAGTCACTAGGGATAAGGACCTGGCGCCTCCCGAGCATTCATTTAGAGTTCGTTCTGAAGAACTACCACGCCCGCGCGAGAGTTAGCCGCGGAACCTAAGTTACCTCGCCGCAATTCCCGACAGCTTAAATAGGTAACAAATTG